TTGTGGCGCAACACCCGCTTTGCTTGTATTACCCTGGGAGTAATTCTCATTGAACTCAGTGGGGCTCACTATGTGATAAACCTTCATAGGATTGCACTGAGCCTCATATGCATTGTTGAATCAATTCCTAGTACACCTTTCTGTGGAAAGGTGCAGTGACTTTTTTATAAAATAGTTTTATTAAAACTTTTCAACATAGAAACGAGAGAAGAAATAAGAAAGAAAATGCAGAAAAAGCAAACAAGCAGAGAGATAAGAATAACAACAGAATAAAGAGAGAGCGATAAATAAAAGTGACTTCCAACTATCCACCTGTCAGTTGTGCTTGCAAGAGTCCCTCATAATAGTCCAATTTTCAATCAAGAGTAGTATCCAGTTATTCCTCCCCCTGCTAGCTGATGTTTTTCCCAATGATCAATCCAGGCATCACAGGTTCATTTCCTTTCCTTTCCATCCAAGAAGTCCAAAGGGGTTTCTGCAATTATTATCTATAAAAACCAGCCATAATATTCCTCAGTCCAACCTCATAACTTTACCTCCAGATTTAAGACAACCTTATCCAGTCCTTATTCTTTGTTCCCCATGAATTTCTTAACTGTATTTATAATAAGACAATATCCATTATCGATTACAAATTATTTAGGCATTAAATCACACCAAGAAAGGCATATCCGTCTCTGCTAATGCCATTTCCTGTTGCCATGGTCTTCCACCCTTGTCAATTAGAATCCCCCCCCCATTTTCTGTAGTTCCATTCTTTCAAAAGTATTGCAGGAGGCTTGATCACTTTTTTCTTCTGAAACCATTACAAATTGTACACAGAGTCCTTTGACCTCTCCTTGAAAGACGTGATTGAAGTAATGCCCAAAGTGATTGTGTGGTTTACCAGATAATTCCCTATGCACAGGCCCTTAACCCATGGCTACCCCCAGGTGTCCAGAGGGTCCCATCCCTCCAGCTGAAATGAGTCTTGAAAGGTCAGGCTTCAGGGAATCCTGTCCCTTCCACACAGGCAGCCAAGAAGCAGATAAACAAGGAGGAGATCTTACCAAGCAGTTTATTCAATATTCACAGAGAGAGAAGAAGGTCTCCCTTAGATAATGGAGTTGCTCCAAGTAAAGTCCCAGCCCCTCCGTCTCTCCTATTCTACATCATCCCTGCCCTGGCTGATCTGTGCTTTCTGCCTCTGAGCTTTCTGTTCTACTACTCTCAATGCACGCTTGGTCCTGGGGGGGCGGGGCGGGTCAGGAATGCTTTCTACAGACACTGAGTCTGTCAGCTGTCTCTCCCCTGGTGCTTCTTCTTCCTGCTGTTCCTCTCCCAATCTTTCCCAGCTTCTCCCCTCTGCAGCCTCTGAACTATGACCTTCTGCAAGCCACTGTTCTAAATCTATATTGTCCTCCTCTTCTTGGGAAGGTGCAGGAAGAGGGGGCGGTAGCCCCCGCCCATCCTCCTTAGTCCAGTCCCTGACATGAAAGAAGTATTCTAGCAAGAAGAATAAGTTGTGGTATGGTGTGAGGGGGGCCCGTCTACAACACTTTCTGCCCTCCATGAACAGCCCCTGGACTTGTTTTCAATTACACCTTGCCTATTTTGAACACACCTTGCATATCACAGCAGAGAGAGAAAATATTGATGAGGCGAGTCTTAATATCCTTTTTTTCTTATTTCTTTTTCCCATACGAAGAAACAGAAACAATGTAAGTGGCAAATCTGCTGGGCTTGGCAAGGACTTCTCTCCTACAGAGAATTTGGCAAAATTCACCTGTGATGCCTTTTGTTTAGTGTGGGTTCATATCAAATCTTTCAGTGCAATTGTTTGGATAGTCTGTTCTTGCTCGGGTAATACAAATTGTTTGTGAAGCTTGCCCATACTCATACATTTTCCTATCAGACCTGCAATTGCTTCTGATCTCTTGGGAACTCTGCCAGCCAGGCATTTTGTCTTTATTTTATTAACCACTCGTTCATTCAGCCTATGGGCTTACTCAGCCATAGATGAAATACAGACAAAGGCATACAATTATGCCGTTTGTTTCCCTATCAAGAAGGAGGCACTTCTGTGATTAATAAATAGCTCATTCTTCTCAATGGTCCGCAAACGTAGTATGTTATCAAGATGAAGCATTATGATTTCACCAAGCTCCAGGTTTCAATAGGCTCCAGATTTTTTTGGCTCCTGGACATGAGACCAGCTATGGGTCCCTTTCTCTCCTCCCCCCTCTCTCACCAAAACACACACACACACACGTAGTTGCTGCTGAACTAGACTGGTAGGGCTCCCTAGTCTGTGCCCATGTGGGTACAACAGGGAGCTGGGTATGAGAAAGTGTCCCACAGAAAGGTGTCCCATGAACATCCATACCCAGGGCCACACAGTGATCAGGCGAGCAAGACTTAGGAGTGTCAGGTTGTATAAGAAGCAGACAGAACCTCTTTGGAAGGCAGAAGGAACACACACACACACACACACACACACAAATCCATGTAGGGACTAGGACAAGTCTGTGCCTCTTTGGAGACCCACAATCAACAATTCCTTATTGATTAGCAGCTGCCAAGAACATCACTCCATGTACCCCTTTGAGTTAGCCTATACAGTGGTACCTTGGGTTACAGACGCTCAGGTAACAGACGCTTCAGGTTACAGACTCCGCTAATCCAGAAATAGTACCTCAGGTTAAGAACTTTGCTTCAGGACGAGAACAGAAATCGTGAGGTGGCAGCGGGAGGCCCCATTAGCTAAAGTGGTACCTCAGGTTAAGAACAGTTTCAGGTTAAGAACGGACCTCCAGAACGAATTAAGTTCTTAACCCGAGGTACCACTGTACATGATTATATTAAGAGGATAATTTTCTGAAAGTATCAGGGGTTTCAGTGGGGCTAAAGTAAAAAGAACATCTCTCACCGCTTTGATATCTTGGCCTTGGGTTCCATATAGAATTTATTTTGTTAGCAATCAGAAGCATTATTACCCCAGTCTTTAGCCAAAATGTCTCCCAGAGCAGCTTACAGTAGTAAAACATTCCCTGCCATCAGACTTGCAGTCTAAAAGTTATGACACACAAGGAAATGAGAAAGAGGAGAGAGAAGAAGAAGCAAAAGCTCAAGAATCATTTCTTAAAGTTCCATTTCTTACCATGGCCAGTAGGGATGGAAACACCTTCATTTTGTTTGTTTTCTGGTTTTTATCTACTTTTAAGGGAATATTATTGGATTCCCCACTCCCATAAGCTGCCGAGAGACTTTTATTATATTAAGTGATCACACACACACACACACACGCACAATTGTTCAGGCACTGATTTCACTGATTGTTCACTGAAATGCCTGCCACTAGGTGACACTTGAGGGAGAGTCAAAAGCAGCTGGTCCCTCAGGCAGGGGCTATTGAATAGCCCTGCTTTGCATCTCTCCCACTGTTCTGCAGCCTATAGAGTGAAGGGCAAAGGAGATTTACTTGTCCCAACTACTGACAATATAGAAAACATATTGTCATTAGTGAGCATAAATCTTATTTGCGTGGGGAAATCTATGAATGCCTCCCCTCCTCCCCATCCCACCTAGTTTGTTTTTCCTCTTACATAGCCTGCCTTTTTGTATTTGACAAATGAGGACTGTGTGACCCTGAAAGCTGCTGTATTCAAATTGCATTCTTGAAAATGAAAAATTAACTCCACAGCTAATGCATCTGTTTTTCAAGGATCAATATGTCTACAAGACACTTTAGCATTCGATTTTAAACTCAAGAGCTTCCATAAATATTCTCCACTGATCCCCATAATAGGATTTTGCTCTCCATTAAAAACACCTGCAGGATCTTTGCAATTTCTTCTTATGCATTCCCATGTTGAAATATTTTGCAGTCTCTTGCAGAGGTGAAACACTGTCTCTGCTTAAATAGCCCATTATTCTGATCTGCCAATACGTCAATTCATCATTGGAATAAACATACACGCTGTAGGAGACATCTCAATACTTGATGATCGTAAGTCTGGCTTGGAGGAGGAAAAATCACCGGTGGCCTGGCTTCTCTAGTGAAGTATGAAGCCTTTCATGTATTCTGTTTCCTCTCATGCTGAGCCCAATGAGTTTATTAGGTAGTAAAAGCTTACTAGAGCTGAGACTTTCTACTATCTACACCTAAGATGGTACCTGCCTGTTCCACGCAGCAGAAATCTCCCAGACTTCTCCCAGACTGACAGTTGACTCTTACAGCTGGAATACCCTCCAACATTCCTCAAATGAAAATTGGGACATTTCTCACTCCCCACAACTGACCCTCTCCGACTCCCCATTTTTGTGTCCCTCCAAGCATTTCCTATCAGAAGGCGGCGAGGGCCGCCACCACTAAACCAACAGGCCAAAGCACATCCTGAAAAAACCCTTAATCCTGAAGCCTCTCTTCCTACTCGCCTGCTCTCCAGTAGCCACTATGAGCTGCCCAAGGGATGAGGCCGGCGGCGGCAGCCATGGAGAGGCAACGGGGTGCTCCATCACTGCCACCAGCGCTCAGGAGAAACACCAGCTCATCCTCCTCAATGGTAGCAGCACTGTGGGGGAAAATAAGGACATTCTGGGATCAAATCAGAAGCCAGGATGGCTTTCGTGATTCTGGGACTGCCCCTGGAAAACAGGGAAAACTTGGAGGGTATGAGCTGGCTAGCCTAATGGCTGCATGACTCACTGCATGGCTCAGGGTATCGGTCATGCCTGGCTGTGGCTGATGGGAGTTGTAGTCCAACAAGATTGCAGCACATCGGCTACCCCGTCTAACAGGGAAGAAGAGTAGCTGCCCAGCTTCATCTTGTGGAATTTTCCTGCTGATATATGAGAGGAACCATGGCAAAACAGTGTCCCCAGCATACCCTACATTTAAAGCACATGATTCTTCCAAAGAATCCTTGGAAGTGCAGTTTACCCTTACAGAGCTACAGTTCCTAGCATTCTTAACAGACTACAGCTCCCAGGATTCTTTGAGGGGAAGTCAGGTGCTTTAAATTGTATGGTGAGCACACAGCCTCTCTCAAGGAAGGTTTTTATCCATCCAGGTGTGGGCCATTCACGTTAGCCACCATATCTTCAGTGACTCATAGCATAGATGTGAGATGGGGATATGGGGAATTAGTAATACATGCTTACCTTTGGAGACATGTTCACTGAGGAGTTCCACTGCTCTCCAGAAACAATTAGGTCCCTGCCCAGTCGGTTCCTTTTTGTTGTTTTCATAGGTGAACAGCTCCCGGAGAAAGCAATAGGGGCATCCTCCATCTCTGTTTCCGTAGCATCATTAAGAACTGAAATGAGAACATAAATAAATCCAAAATGTGAAGTAAGCTTTAATGATGTCTGGATCTTTGGCCAGCTTTGGATTGGCAAAATCACTTTTTATAGACTTTCCCCTGCTATTTCCCCGAGTGTTAAAATTATTTATTGTAACTTGGGGAGGCGGGTAGTTGTAATGGCTACAGCAATCTGTCAGAGCTTTCTTCACCATCAAACATGGGCCTTCGGGGGATTGATGTTTGCTAATAGGTTTAATGAGTTTTACAAGAAGTTTTTGCTTTAAAAAGGGGGTGCATTCATTGCTTTGAATATCAGGATAATAACCATAGAAAGAGAAGCACATCCATGTGGAAATGTAGCTTTTTAACATAAGGATTTAAACCTTCTGATCGCTGCAAGTTCCATGTTTTCTATTCTTGGTATCTCTGTCTAACCTCTGAGATGCATTCATTTGTTTATTACTCCAAGTACTTAGGATGCCGCTTTTCAGGATGAAGCCTTCTCAAGACAGCTTATAAAAGATAATTTAAATGATTACAAATTGTAAAATGTGAATATGTAGAATCCTTCAAAATACTCATCGTTCCCCTTTTTTGAGTTTATTACTCAGTCTAGGGCAAGCATTACTGATACTGATTTCTCTAGGTGTCTCTCATTTCGCAGCTTCAGGTTACAGACTCTGTTAACCCAGAAATAGTACCTCAGCTTAAGAACTTTGCTTCAGGATGAGAACAGAAATTGTGTTCCGGTGGCGCAGCGGCAGCGGGAGGCCCCATTAGCTAAAGTGGTACCTCAGGTTAAGAACAGTTTCAGGTTAAGAACAGATCTCCAGAACGAATTAAGTTCTTAACCAGAGGTACCACTGTACACAGTAATAAAAACAAACTGACTTTTTTACCAACTATCAAAGATTGGCAGATGAAGATGATGGACTACATGGAACATGCCGAACTGACCGGGAGACTCCAAGACCGGAGAGAAGAGACGGTGGAAGAAGATTGGAAGAAGTTTAAGGAATATTTGAAAAAAATATGTTAATATTTAAACCTTAGAATAGCTTTGGAAGTGGATATAGGCTGTAGGGTTAGAAGTAGAAGACAGGGTATTTTAAAACAGTATTATTTCTAAGTGATAAAATGTGAAGGTATTTTAAGTGTGATTAAAAAAAAAAAGATGGTTAGAAATTATGATATATGCAAACTGCTAAAGATGAAGTAAAATGAAAACCAGATAGGTGGGACTTGGGGAAGCCCACTTAACAATGTTTAGAAAAATAAGGATATGACAAGAATTTTCTGTTTGCGTTTTAAAATGAATAATAATTTTTTTGAGGAAAACCTGACTTTTGTGATTTTAGTCTCTAGTGTTAATCTTTTCAGTGATCTGCATAGCAGCAAAGTTTTTACTACCATTTCACCTTATGCAATAATTAAAATGGCTGACATGTTAGTCTGTGTGTGAGTGTGTGTGTGTGTGTGTGTGTGTGTGTGTGAGTTAGGTATGCATTTATTCAAGGTGATAGTTAAATATCTTATACAATAACAGGGTTTCAATACTTTGGTGCGCCTCCTCGTTGGTATTCAACATCCGTTTTTTGGTTAACCAACAGTGTAGTGATAGGGAAGGGGTTAGCAACTTTCCCCCTCCTCCATAGCAATGTTATTCTGTAATGTTATTTATACGCAAGTTAATGAAATTTCCCCAAGAAACTTTTAGCCATTCAGATTTATGACTGAAATTATTGCAAGATTAATATACTGCAGCAACAATGACACAGACAAACAGGTAAGAAATTAAATGACTTATTAGGAAAGCACTTTATAAACTGGTTGCCATAAAATATATGCTTAAGGATTTACTGGGATTGTCATGCTAGTACCTTAACACTTATCACTAAGTTGTTGTCTGGATTGGACTGAAATGTGGTTTGAGATGGGAGGGGTAAATATATCTGAAAATACACTATTCCAATATTTTGCATTTAAGTGCAGATGGATGCAGAAGTGGGCCAGAATGGCCCTATGAATTAACTTATCCATCCCTACCTGTAAAAGGTAAAGGACCATTGGACAGTTAAGATCAGTCAAATTCAATTATGGAGTGCGGTACTCATCTCTGCCTTCAGATCGAGGAAGCCAACATTTGTCCACAGACTGCTTTTCTGGGTCATGAACTGGATCCCTACCTGTAGGTGGAAACTAACAGAGCAAGGAGTAGGCTGTGTTCTGATTGTGGTTTGTTTCTGCTTTTACTTACAGATGTTTTTTGTTTTGTTTTTTACATGTAACGGTAAAGGGTAAAGGGACCCCTGACCATCAGGTCCAGTCGTGACCGACTCTGGGGTTGCGGCGCTCATCTCGCTTTATTGGCTGAGGGAGCCAGCGTACAGCTTCCGGGTCATGTGGCCAGCATGACTAAGGCACTTCTGGTGAACCAGAGCAGCACACGAAAACGCTGTTTACCATCCCGCCGGAGCAGTACCTATTTATCTACTTGCACTTTGAGGTGCTTTCGAACTGCTAGGTGGGCAGGAGCTGGGACCGAGCAACAGGAGCTCACCCCATCGCAGGGATTCGAACCGCCACCTTCTGATCGGCAAGTCCTAGGCTTAACCCACAGCGCCACCTGCGTCCCTATTTTTTACATGTAGGAGCATTCAAAAACGTGAACCTATGTCTGTACCTCAAATCAGAAGTGTCACAATGCTCTCCACCACCTCAAGATTCTATAATGTCACTCTAGGTGCCTCCAAAGTGTCTTTTCCGGATTCAAGTAAATCCATATCACTAACAAAATGAAGCCACTTATTAAAATGTATTTTTATTAAAGATTTTCTTGATTTACAAAAGTATGTGCAATGTCTCTCTCTCTCGTTCCCCCCCCCCCATGTAACATTTTTACAAACCAGTTTCATTTGTTGAGACATTAGGAAGAAAAGAGGGAAAGAGGTGGGGGGAAGGATGGGTGGGGTCAGGTGACGATGTTTCTATTTTACTTAATATATGTAGGGTTTGGTGTCAGCATTGCTTGTGCAGTTTCTTTGCTGTCAGCAGCCAGAAACAACATAACCAGACACTGGAGAGACCTGTCAGGAGTAAGCATGAACCAGTGGTACCAAATAGTATGGCAAACAGCCTTACTAGAAAAACTAGCCAATAAACTGAAACTGACACGGGGACAAATAGAAGACGACGCCTTCACCCCGGTATGGCTCCCCTTTATCACACACACACAGCCCAACAAGACAATGACAAAAATCCATCAACAGCATACAAATCAATATGGCTAACCTGATCCAAAACACCCACCCACCCCACTCACACATGAAAACAAAGACCACCACAGCCAACCACAAATGAACAACCACACCCTAGGCCCACCCCAACCTCTCTCACAATGAACCCACTTTAAAAAGAAATAGACTTTCTGTGGTTTTGGGGAAATGCATTGCGTAGTGTAGGATGGATGGATGGATGATTGAATTAATGAATTAATTACTGGGAAGACATATAAATGCCATGCAAACCATTCAGGATATATGCAGAATGAATGCTCTTTGCTAATAAACAGATAAAAATTAAATGCTCAATAAAGGCCAGACATTTTATTTTATTTATTACATTTACATACCATCTTTATCTTCCAAGGAGCTCAAGGTGGCTTACATTGTTCTCCTCCTCCTGGTTTCATCCTCACCAACAACCCTGTGAGGGAGATTGGGCTAAAAGATGGTGACCAGCTCAGCGTCACCCAGTGAACTTCATAGCTGAGTGAGGATTCAAACCCTGCTCTCCCAGGCCCTAGTCCAACACTCAAATCATTATGCCACACTGGCATTATCTAACTCCCAATGAAAGGATGGGGCAGAAATTCCATTCAGTTTTCATTTAAAGGCAAAGATCTCAAATTTACACTTTTCAAAATGACATGCGAACCACAACACAACCATCCCTTGAAATTTGCACATATCCGAATTTTGCAAAGCAGTTCTTCAAACAAATGTTTACAAAAATGCATACACTGGGGGAAACTGGTTGCAAAAATGTGTACGTTGATCAAATCTGCATCCAAAAATGTGTTTATTGGGATAAACGTGCACTAAAATACTAATTAGATTTTTTTAAGGTAATCATAATTACTGCAGAAACATTAAGAACTGAATTTAAGATTGGAGATTTTTGAAACAGAGAGAACCAAAAGTGGCAAATCCTTCCATATAAGCTTTGTATAAGCCAGGCATCCCAAACTCGGCCCTCCAGATTTTTGGGGACTACAATTCCCATAATCTCTGACCACTGGGCCCTTTAGCTAGGGATGATGGGAGTTGTAGTCCCAAAACAGCTGGAGGGCTGCGTTTGGGGATGCCTGGTATAAGCAAATCAGAATGAATGCTCAATAACTAGGTCATTTGAGGGGCCCTTCCATTCATGTGTAGGTCATGCCAGAGAATACAAACATTTCAGCAAGAATTAACTTCATCCCCCCACCTCTTGGAATGAACTTTCTTTGGAAAGAAATTGTTTCCCTCCCACAAGACCAGGAGGGGAGAAACCTCCACATAATCTTGTAAGGGACAAATTTGTCCCTTTCTCTGCTGAGAGGGGCCAAAGAAATTGTAAACAACAATGGAAAAGTTTAAGGGTCCGAGGAAGGAAACTTATTGGACTGTTAATGAGTAGCACGATTAGACAAATCAATATTTCATTGCCAGTTTCTGACTTCATTACCCAGCCTTATTTCCGTCAGGAGTTGTCGCACACTTTGATGCCTTTTGCACTTATGGTCTTATTTGTATTTGCCAATTCGGGAAGAAATTGAAATGGCTGGTCTATATGTGTGTAATTGCCAACTGCTGAAATTAGTTTGCTCTCAGATGAAATCAATTGTAGCAAAATGTATATGTACTCAAAAGAGGGGAAACGAATGAAAGGGGATACAGCTATGCCTTATTAACATATATAAGCTTCACATTGGTGCAAAAATATTCATTCCTTGTAGAACACAGTGAAATAAAACTATTTTCTCTCAATTATATTGAGCATGCTTCTACAGGAATACCTCTATGATGAATGCTTCCAAGAAAAAATAACCCCTATTAGGCTGAAATTATATTTTGGTCATTCTTGTCTGCTCAGTGTTAAGGATGAAAAGAATGGAAGAAGTCCTAATATGTCCAGCATCTTTTTTCACGCAACAGCCAAATAGTTTCTTATTGGAAGCCCACAAAAGCTCTTCCTGCTCTTGTTCCCCAAGCAATTGATATTCAGAGGCTTACTGCACCCAACAGGAGGTCTTCACAGCCTTGTGTTCCATGAATTTGTCTGTAGACAAGGCCCACAAGGCAACAGGTGTACCTGAGTGGGGAACATATATACCACCATGTGAACAAAATCTGTCATTATTATTTTTGCATGAACATTGTCAGCATCTGTACGACTGCTTTTCAAAAAACCTCTAAGGAACACTATACCACAGTCTCTCTAGATATTATCTACCATGTTCTCTTGCAGCTGTTTCATTGAGAATTGCATCTATGGCAAGGGACTCCTCTACTAGCCTTTAAGTTGGGGGTGGCCCTCCCAGTATTGCTGGGCTACAAATTCCTGACCAATGGCAATGCTGTCAGGGGATAATGGGAGCTAGAGTTTAACAGCACCTGGAGGGTCAAAGGATCCCCATCTTTGCCTTAAGACAACACAAGTTGTATACTTGTTTTGCAAGTGGCCATAATGATGCATAGATGCAGTGCTATTTTTCTATATAAAAAAAAGAGGTGCCAGAACTCACCATGAACTCCTCCCTTGTTCTCCTAGAATGGCAATAGGCCCCACCTGAGAGGTGCCGGAACTGAGTTCCAGCTGGGGGGAAAGCCCTGCATAGATGTAAAGGGATTTTTGCACTGTTTGAAGATGACAAATAAGAATTTTATAGAGTCAACTTTATAGAATCCTAATAAATGCCTAGCTTGATTAAGCACAGGTCTAGTCAACTGAGCATTTAAAGTGCCATGATCAAGTATGTTTGATAGCAATGCTTAAAAAATGTGAACCACTGGCTTGCAAGTAGTCCCCATTAATATCAGTATATGTATAAACATTATTATGCAAGGGCTTTAGAACTTCATCCACTGAATCTTAACTATAAATTAGCCAATAGGGAGAGTTGAATAACAGGCTATATATTTCTTACACCCATGTTTCAAAGTTGATAGCCTGAAGGAATTAAATCCATGCATAAACACAGACAACTAAACCTATTTATAACCTGTATCCTTATTTCAATAAGATCAGCTAGAGATTCTAAAACTATAGAGAGTGTATACACAGAATTATAGGAACATAGTTCTACCTTATATTGTGTCACACCATTGGTCCATCTAAATAAGAACAGTCCACAATGACATAGAGTAGCCGTCCAGGATTTCAGATTGGGGTCCCAGCCCTATCTGGAGAGACTGAACTTGGACTCTTCTGCATGCAGATCAGATGATCTTCCAGTGAGCTCTAGCTAATTATCACTGGACAACAGTTGCAAACTATATTTCGTTCTTTAGAGAAGACATCTCTTGGTATCAAGATCACCTACCTTGTCTGTAAATGATCCCACAGTCAGTCCGTAGCATCACTATTTAAGACTTCTCAAGTAAATGATATCTAGAAAGGTTCCCTTTTTTTGAGAGCTGTTTCACTTAGAGAATACTATTGAAGGAGATAGCCACTGGTCTGACTCTGTATAATGCAGGCATCCCCAACCTTTGGCCCTCCAGATGTTTTGGACTCCAATTCCCATCATTCCTGACCACTGGTCCTGTTAGCTAGGGATCATGGGAGTTGTAGGCCAAAACATCTGGAGGGCCGCAGATTGGGGGTGCCTGGTATAATGCAAGGACAGGGAGCTCATTTCTCTGCAGATGTTGTTTGACCCAAACTCCTATCATCCACAGCCAACCTGGCTCAGAGATTATGGGAGTTGTAGTCCAAGGCCATGGGGAGGAGCACAGGTTTCCCACAACTGGTATATGATGAAACCGCGAGCTCCTATATTCATATGATCTGCCAGATATTCTTTTTTGTTCTTAGATGCCAAATTATATCAAATTCTAGAAACCTCTAGCAGTGAATTCTATGACTACCAACCTCAGCGTGATCATATCAAGGTAATTGAGGGCCCCCCCCAAATGTGACCATTAATGAAATCACATATAATGCTGCATTAATGTACCCATACCAGTTAATGCAGCAATTGTTTGGCTTCCGGCATTTTTATTAACAATGAGTAGGACTAAAAGAGGAATCTGAATCATTTAATAGATATAGTTCCCCAGAGTACTATGAGTGAGCAAGAACAAGACTCCATCTTTGTGAATTAAGAAGGGTAATCTGGAAGGAGGCTTGTCTCAACTTCTCAGAACTCAAATTATTTTCTGGATGAAGGCGTGTTTCTTTTAGCCATTGCTTATTTTATCAACCAGCAGGAGTAGAAAAAGAAAAAGTATCTTGGATAGATTCTGACTTTAATATATTAAAATTTTTATTTCATTCTTTTAACATGCACTTCCACCCAAAGGAATCTGGAGATTGGGTAAAAGGCTAAGAATTGTATTTGCAAGATCTCTACCTCCCCGCAGTACTTCAGTTCTCAGGATTCCTTGGGGAGAGAAATTGATTTTTAAACCCACATACCTATGAGAAGAGATGTGGGGAATTGATTCAGGTTGTATTTTAAAGTGAGCCAACTTCATTGACACTTCCCCAAATCAAGTGGACTGAAATGCAGTCATCCTTTGAATTTTGCAGTGCTGTTCTCCAACCAAGTCAAGTGTACAAGGCTCCATACACTCAGACAAAGTGTGTATGAGAATGTATATACGCATGGGAAAAGCTTACAAATATGCATTTTATTAAGGAAAACTGCACACCAAAATGTGTATAATTAGGAGAAAATTGCACTAATATGCTGGCAACCCAACCAAATGGGCAGCATATACAGAGGTACCTCAGGTTAAGTACTTAATTCGTTCCGGAGGTCTGTACTTAACCTGAAACTGTTCTTAACCTGAAGCACCACTTTAGCTAATAGGGCCTCCTGCTGCTGCCGCGTCACCAGAGCACGATTTCTGTTCTCCTGAAGCAAAGTTCTTAACCTGAAGCACTATTTCTGGGTTAGCGGAGTCTGTAACCTGAAGCGTATGTAACCTGAAGCGTATGTAACCTGAGGTACCACTGTAAATATAATAATCAGTATTAGGAACTTTTTAAAAAAATCACAAACTAAAGTGGAATTGTAGGAGCAAAAATTGAGGGTGGGGAAAAGAGAAACAGAAAGAAACCCAAATTGACAGATCTGCTCATCTCTATCTGGGAGTAAGACTCACTGGAGTCAATATAACCTACTTCTGAGCAGACGTGTACAGAATTCCCTTGTTAAGCCTGCTCCATAGATATGCCCAAAGAAATAGATGTATACTTGGCACTAGTCATTAAGCTGACTATTCTCCTACGAATTTTACATATCGTCTTGGATCTTATACACAGTTCCCCCTTGCAGTGCTTCATTACACATAGTTGCAGAGGTACAAAACGTTCGTGCAAATTAGATGCAGAGTTTTCCATCTGTGCAAGTATGAAATGTATTGCAAATGTCATGAGAAAACTTGTTCTCATTATTTTTTAACCCCGTTCTTGGAAAGAGTGGTTGAAATGGATGAGTCAACTTCTATGTGTAACCTTCCTCTCAAGGCGGAAAATAAAATAAAATAATATTTTTTAATTTATATCCCACCCTCTCCAGCCAGAGCTGGGCTCAGGGTGGCTAACACCAGTAAAATTACAATAAAAACATAATTGGGGGGGGGAGGAGAGAAAAGAAAAGAAAAACCAATTTAAAATACGGGTTAAAATACAATTTAAAATGCAGCCTCATTTTAATAGTAGCCCATGGATCAAAACCATAAGGGGAGGGAAATATAAGGGTCAGACTGAGTCCAAACCAAAGGCCAGGTGGAACAGCTTTGTCTTGCAGGCCCTGCGGAAAGATGTCAAGTCCCGCAGGGCCCTAGTGTCTTGTGACAGAGCGTTCCACCAAGTCAGGGCCAGTACTGAAAAGGCCCTGGCCCTAGTTGAGACCAATCTAACCACCTTGTGACTTGGGACCTCCAAAGTATTGTCATTTGTGGACCTTAAGGTCCTCCACGGGACATACCAGGAGAGGCGCTCCAATAGGTACATGGGTACTAGGGTCCTAAAATGTGTTTCACTCAGTCAAACCACTGGTCCTTTCATGTCCAATTCGTTCAAAAGATCTACCATCCTAGATTTTAACACAAATTTTTATCTTTTATGTTACTTTTATGTCTCGCACAGGAGCGAGATGACAGCAGATGAAATGAATGGAGATGTATTCCAGTTCTTTCAGTGAATTATACCATCTATGGATGAAATTTGTACACAGATGGTGTTGTTCTTCATTGTATCAAATCTAATCATATTTTTATTTTACCTTCAAATGGAAGACTGACTTCTCATTTCCAAACATGAAAGTGGCCAATTTCGGGTTGAGTTGCTGGCCATAGCTCAGAGGTAGAGCATCTGTCTTGCAACCAGAAGGTCCCTGGTTCAATCCCTGACATCTCCAGGTAAGGATGGAAGAGATTCCTGCCTGAAATCCCCCCCAAGCCTCTGCTGGTCAGTGTAGACAATACTGGGCTAGATGGACTAATGGTCTGACCCAGTATAAGGCATATTCCACTCACTTCTTTAACCAGGGACCTAAACCAGGGATGGGGGAAAGAATCTCTGCACCATGATTTGTTGAATTTGCTCCATATATGACTCAATGGGATAACAATACCAATCCAACCAGAGATTGAATTTCCCATGCTCAGAAATGCATTTAATCTCTATTCATCCTGATTGTGATTGGATGAGGATGGGTAGGTAAGTAGCAATTTCTTGTTTAGCAAGCAGTATTTTTTAAAATGTATTTTTAATCTCTTTTTGGAAGCCGCCCATAGTGGCTGAGGAAACCCAGCCAGATGGGTGGGGTGTAAGTAATAAATTATTGCGTGGACAGGCAGAGTTCCCCAAACCCTGGGTGGCACCCGTGTGGAATAACGACTCAGGACAACGTGCTAATTGGCCACAACTTTATTATGTTTCAGATGTGGGTAGACCTTGGTTCAAGCATCGGGTGTTTATCCCTCCCAGTCCCCCACTGGGGATCTGGGGAACATCAGGGTTATCCAGAGTGTGGAGGGGGTGTGTGTGCTAGCTCTGGAGAACATATGTTCGAGCAGAGAGAGCCCGCCCCCGTTACGTCGCTGTTGCAGGGGAGAGCAATGACAACCTCTATGCATACGGCCAAAGGCTCCCCTCAAAACAACCCCTTTAACGGGGAACCCTGGTATCGCCACTGCGAAGAGAAGGGGGTTGTGGGTCACCTCTACACCCCCACCCCCATTTAGGGAAGATAGACTAAAGGATTCCACTGAAGGCCTGAAACCGCCAAAGTTGTGACGTTTTGCTACAGGAAAGGCAAACCTGCCAATGCAGGAGAATTCCTTTCCGGGCCTTCTACAGCGACCTTGATGTAGCAGCACCCGTGTACCTGTGGAGAAAAGGTTAACCTGCAAAAGAAGTCTTAACTGAAGGTGGGTAGGGTGGGAGAAGCTCTGGGGCCAACTAACGATTCCCAGGTAAGATCCTCCCCCTATTGTGTGGGCAGGTGGTCCCTCCCCCTACCTGTTCTGATCACCTTGGCAAAGCCTCCCCAGGTGGGATTGGGCAACTGGCTGAGGTAGGAGGAGACCTCTAGGTATCCCACCTGGGGAAGGCGAAGCCAAGCCTGTGTTAATGGTGCCGCATAGAGTCCCGGGGGCTGCATGCGACCATGCAAAGGGCGCCCCCCCATTAATGTGCGGAGCGGTCAGTATAATAATAATAATACAAAGTTGAAGATCTCACACAACTGCCACAAAGCAGCTGCATTTTAAGAAAGGAGCGCCTAGCACCATCTAATTATGTGATAAACAAAAGCAGGATTAAATTTCATCAGCCTTTAAATTATGGCGACTTCGCACAATGACACCAACCTTCCACAGCCACAAGCGCAGTGAAAACTCTGTACACAAAGGGAGCTGCAGTGATTCCAGCTATTGTAGTACCAGGGGGAAAGTGCTTCTGTGATCACATAAAATTCTGCCATCTATATCTTTGCATCGTGTAACTCACAGACCGAAGGCCGCATTCCCTTCAGTCAACCTTCCTCATGCTGGTGATGGACAGAGCCGCAGGCAAAACAGGGCAGAGCAAACTAGGTTAGTTACTTCACATTCACAAACCATTCTCTATCCTCCAGCCAGGCAAACGAGAACCATTCGAATATATTTTCCAGCCAGGTAAACCCACTCAAGGAGGGTGCAAAGCAGGACTGGGGTGGGGTGTGGCTCAGGAGAGTGTGTGGCCTGAGGAATCATAGAACTGTAGAGTTGGAAGGGACCTGAGGAGCATCTAGTCCATCCCCCTGCAATGCAGGATCATGCAGCTGTTCTTATGAGGATCGAACCTGCAACCTTGGTGTCATCAGCACCATGCTCTAACCAACTGAGCTACCATGCTTGGGCCTGACAAAGAGGCCTGGAGAGCAGCATTTGGTCCCCAAGCCTGAAGTTCCCCTGTCCTCATCCAATAATATATAAATATACAGTCCTAAATTCCTAATAAATTTCATACAGTTTTTTTTTTTTAAAAAAAGAAATTTATCCATTGACATTCTTTCTATTGACCCACATTTTTACTTGGTAAATACTACGACGTCTCTTTCAGCCTTTTATCCCACATGACTCTTGGGATAAACTCAGTTGGTAGACCATGAGACTCTTAATCTCAGGGTTGTGGGTTTGAGCGCTACGTTGGGCAAAATATCCCTGCATTGCAAGGGGCTGGACTGGATGACCTTCGTAATCCCTTTCAAGTCTACAGTTCTGTGATTCTGGACACTCATACCATTATGCCAAAGAAAGAAATAATCCTTCCCAATGTATTTTGTTTCAGCTCAAGGGATGTTGTGATAAACAATTTTGCCATTTCTCCCCCGTTTAGAATGCATCATCGGCAAACTGTCAGCCCACATTATTTGCCCATTTCCTGCAGCTGGTGAATAAGCAGATATGCCATTTCAAGAGGCCCTGAACAACTTTGTACCCTAAGGAATGTTCTCTGCTCCTCTTCTGATGCAATACAACTTGAGGGGAGCTTGTCATCAGCCTCTCTCAGGAGAGGAGATATCTCACAAGTTTAAGAATCCAGCTTTGACTAGGATACTTGGATTTGCGGGAGCTTATTCCTCTTTACCTTATCATACAAAAGAACTCTGTTAAATAGGAAGATGATTTTTTTTTCCTCCAAGTTTTCACACTGTAGTGAAGCATACGTTAAATATCTAGCGTGTAATGCTGGTCGTCAACAAAAGAGGTTCAAAGACTGTCTCAAGGCAAATCTTAAAAAAAAAAAGTAGTATAAACACTAACAATTGGGAAACACTGACCTGTGAGCGCTCCAATTGGAAAACAGCCTTTACCAAAGGTGTCATGGGCTTTGAAGACACATGAACTCAGAACGCAAGGGAGAAACATGCTAAGAGGAAGGCACGCTTGCAAATCCACTCCGTGATCAACTCCCACCCGGAAACTTACGTCCCCACTGTAGAAGGATGTGTGGATCCAGAATTGGCCTTCACAGTCACTTACAGACTCATTGTTAAAACCGTATTTATGGAAGACAATCTTACTCGGCTATGAGTGATCGCAAAAGAAGAAGAAGAAGAAGAAGAAGAAGAAGAAGAAGAAGAGGAAGAAGAAGAAGAAGAAGATAGGAGCTAACCGTGCTTCAGCATTGTTTGCCTTCCAGGCATTTCTCAGGAGCAGAACTACAGAGATCAGATAAAGGGTCTGTTTGTTTGATCCAAGAAGGAAGATCTTGGATCTTCTTAGAGAGCACCACCACTGTGCTCTCTAGTCCAGTCACAACAGAACTCTTTGTGCATTCATCTGTGTGCAAACACAGGGAGCAAAGCAAAGGTGGCTATAGGACCACATTTGCTGACTTATGTCCAAACCTGTGGACAGACTAGAGTGGTGACGTACATGTTGCCAAAAAGGAGAGCATGGATCACCCAAAAAAGGGGCACAGATCTGCATAAAATTTGCATATGCTATTTAGGCATTACTCAACAATGTACATACAGAATAATAACCCAAGTGAGACTAGCTCAGGTTAACTCCCTGCACCCTTTGCCTACTTCCATCTTAAGTCGTTCAAGGCTGAGTTTCATCTTCCACAACAGTAATTTGCCATCTAGGTATTCTCTGTTGCTTCTTGTCTCAAATGGCTCTTCTTCCTCCTCCTCTTCTTCAGTGTAAAAAGAGATCCTGCTACCATCACCTACTAGCTATAACATTCTTACTCCTCACTTTTAAAGCCTTGTAGCGTGCAAGAATTTCCACAGAATATCTGACATTCTCAAAGACTTTCCCCCCAAAAAACAGCCCCAAAGGCAAATTTATAATGCCCAAGCTATTATGTTTGTGAAGGATAGGTTCTCTTTCATCTCTGCACCTCAAATATGCTGGAAATTTCAAAGATTTGACTGCAGCCTTTCATAATTGTCCAGATATGTTGAGCCTACTTTGTAACCCAATCCGCTCACATTTTTTTCAGAATATACATGTTACCTCTTACGCTCAAATCAAGACAATGTTTATATATTGCCTTCATTTTTCAGCCGAGATGACAAGTACTGTACTTTTGCTTTATACATCACATTTTCCATGACTATAGGCTTTAAATTAAAGTATTAAAACATTTGAAACCGTTTTGTGAGTGCAGCATTGTATAATATAAATTAGCAGCGGGAATATGTAAAGAAAAGAATCCGGACCAATTTTGACTTTTGGTTGTTTCTTCTTCCTTTCTTTATAATATTTTACTTGCTGACAGGATCCAAGGTCAGGCCAAATGAGAGACAGTCTTAGAGCAGATAAGAGCTGACAGGAAATGTAGGCAAAGTAAATAATATGCAACTGGTGATAATGGAAATGTCACTGAACTGGAAATTACTGTATGTGTGAAGGATGTTCTTCCCCTCCCTCCCCTCCAGTCTCCAATTCCAAATACTTCTAAAAAGTAAAACACTATAGCCTGGTGAAATGATAAATTGGGGAGGGGAAAACTATAGTAAGAATGAAATCATATTGTGGCTGGGGAAATATTGCAGCCATTAACTGCTCCAATGATTACATCAACAGGCCTATCCATTTTTGATATTAGAAAAGAGAACTGTTAATGTCATTTTCAGTAAGAAGACAGTTTTGTTTCTAAGGCAGTTAAAGCTTCAATCTGTTCATCGCAATGAATTTTAACAAATGCAAAAATGCTACCATTTTCTCATGTTTTTGCCTTCTCAGGCTGCAGTCCTCTGCACACCTAGGAGAAGGGATGGTTGATCCCGTTATAGTCCAGTCCACCCCATTTCTAAAGGGGGAAAGGACTTCATCCATGCCATTCCATTTTCACACATATTTTAATATGTCTTGTGTAGAAAGATTTATTAAAAATAATATGACATGAGGGGACTTGTGAGGTGATCCAATGGGTTGCAGTTCTGCCTCTGTTATTGATATTTTTTAATCATTTTTACAAAGTCCCAGAAGGGGAGGAGACAAGCCCGAGCAAAGAAGAATGGCTGATCAAGTTGATGGACTATGCCAAAATGGCAAAACTAACTGGGAAGCTCAGGAACCAAGAAGACAAGAAATTCTAAAAAGAATGGGAAATGTTTATAATGTAGATACAAGATCATTGTAAAGAGGTCAAAACATTAGCAGGATTTTAAACATACTTGTAATGTAATAGAAACTACAGATAATTTAGGAAGGTGAATAATTTGGAGAAGTATTAATATGCAGATGAAAACAGAATTAAGAGGACCCATGGATGGGATGGGATGGGGGGGGGAGTCAGGAGATTCAGAGTAATCTCAATACATGAATGTGCATTTCATTTTGATGTAACTTTATTCTTTTTCCTTTTTTCCCTTTCTTTTATTTTTGAAAATCAAATTTAAAAATATTAAAAAGAAAAAAAAAAGTCTCAGAAGGGACATTGGCAGCCTGAGTAAATTAAAATTAAAATGTATAGCTGCAAAGAGGAAGTTGGGGAGTGGTGAAGCGGACTTTGCCCAATGTATATTGTCAATGAAACCGTCAAGTGGGTCTTGTGCAGTAATTGTGTCCAACAAAACTTTTAACATATCAGGGAAGCACTATTGGTCTGAACTCACATTGGTGAATTAATGACGTGCAACAACAGGGATAATAGGTGTATAAACTCTGCAAAAGTAAGACACATTGCACTCTGTTTGGATAGCTCAAAATATTTGTATTAAATTTAATACACATCCAGATCCATGTATAAGGAGCAGAGCATTCTAAATGGCTGTTTGGGTCCATTTGTTCCCTTAAGTGTTGATTTTATGAATGTAGTCAATTGGTGAGCACACAGATTTTGTGGGCATAACTCAGGCACTGAGGTCTGAAAGCTTAGACTCCATGTATTTTAAGCGAAATCTGTTCTCAAAATGGTCAGGGCTGTTTAGTTTAATGAAGCGTACAAGATGGAGATCAAGCTTTGGGCCTATCACCTTTTCACTTTATACAGTGGTGGGTTACACTTGCTCAGCATTCCTTGAAAACAGTGTTGCCATTTTCCTTTGGCAGTCAAAATCTCTCCTCCTGATATTTCAGTTTCTTCCATTCTCAAATGCCCAGATGGATCCATTCCCCCAAGGTTCTAGCTCTGCTCTGCTGTCTATCTAATAATACCTGTGCTTTTCTGTTTGAATTTCTGCTATGAGCTGACTTTAGTGTGTCTTGGGAAAATCCCAGCAAGGGGTTTTTCTGCTCACATAATCCCACCTGGGAAAAGAGAGCCCAATTAACACAGCATTCTTGCACATTAACAGAGAGACTGAATTCCCACAGTTGCTAATCAGATCTATTCTGGTGTGATAAGAGACCAGGTAGCTGCCTGTGTCAGGAGACAACTACCTAAGGAATAATGAACTCTGACTAAAAATATTAGTTCTTGCCTTTACAATATACTTCTTTATATATGAACTTCCAAATTCACAGAGTGGAAGAAACCTGTGGTTCATTTCCATCAGTATCAGGGACATGTAGAAGCAGCAGAGAAGTTCGTGTGCTTTGCTTTGCTTTGCTTCCATTATTCAAAGTCACTTGTGTGGAGCTATTGCACCTTTCAACAGGACATGCATCCTCTGATTATTAGCTACTGAGACTTGATCTGTGAGTTTTATTGGGTTGATTCCATCAACGATGTCTCCGAAAAAATTTACACATCACTTGGGAAGACAGGCGAACTAATACCAGTGTACTGGAAGAAGCAAAGATCACCAGTGTTGAAGCAATGATTCTTCAACATCAACTTCTTTGGACTGGTCATGTTGTGCAGATGTCTGATGATCGTCTTCCAAAGCAACTACTCTATTCCGAACTTAAAAATGGAAAGTGTAATGCTGGTGGTCAACAAAAGAGGTTTA